GCTTGGAATATTTGTTTTAAAGCTGATCCTCACCCGCCGCCGAGGCCGCCACTGAACCCTCGGCTCTATACTGGCTGCCAGCACTCCAAAAATAGAAAGTAAAAAGGTGAGTTTGGGGATTGGAAGAGGCAGGAGCGGGAAGGTGTTGTCACAAACATTCACTGCCCTGAGTGCAGCTGGGATTTATAATTTCAGGCACTGTCACCTCACCCCTAATTTGGGGGACTAGAGCTTAGAAGATAGATTTATTCATTTTTATTTATTTTATTTTATTTTTTGCAGTACCAGGGATCGAACTCGGGACCTTGCACTTGCAAGGCAAAGACAGAATTTTTGTACAGAAAAAAAAATTGAGAGTAAACTATAATCTCTGAGATAATCTAAAAGATTCTATGACGGTCCAAAAAAAATTTTTAAGTTTACTTTAAAAAATGGTAATGTGGGACATGGTGGCGCACACCTGTAATCTTAGCACTCAGGAAGCTGAGGCAGGAGGATCACTGTGACTTCCCAGGCCAGCGTGGGCTACATATCAAGACACTGACTCAAAAAGTTGATTAAGATAGCAGGCTCAGAAAGCTAGAAAAGGAAATGGAGTGCACTCAGTGGTAGATTAAGTGTTAGTGCTGTCGCAGAGCCGAGAGGCGACATAACAGCTTTCTTGGCACGCAAGAGTTCCTGATGTCAGGGCCTGGTGGTCAGAGACTTAGGAGATTTAGGATCCAGGAGGAGGTGTCAGAGCCTCCTGCCAGCAGCTGTGCAGGGGGCGTCACTTGATAGCAGGAAAACAAGCTGAAGCTCTTGGATGGTAAACTGGAGAGCTCGCCTGCCAAGGCAACCCCCAGATCTCCATGGAACACAGTTACGAAAGAGGAGGCTGGTTCCAAGCTGTTTCGCCTCAGACAAGTGGAAAGAGCCTGATTCTGCAGAATTCCATGACAGCCAGGAACCACAGACGAGTTGAAACTCCTCTCCTTGAGGCTACTCCAGGAAGGAGGTGTGCAGGGTTTCCAACTCGTATAATAACAGTAGGAACTGCTGCTCATTGTATCTTTTCCTCCTAAGTTACTGTAACACTTTCTTTGCTCTAGGAAACAGCATTCATCATAAAAGTGCTTCCATAAGAAGTTCTGTTTTTTTGGTTGTTTGCAGCGCTGGGCATCAAACTCACAGCCTTCACATTGAGCTACAAATGCTCAGCCCTTTTCTAAAAAAAAATTTTTTTTGAAATAGGATCTCACTATGTAGTTGAGACTGACCTGGAACTCACTATGTAGCCCAGGCTGGTCTTGAACTCACAGAGATCCTCTTGTCTCAGCCTCCCGAGTGCTCTAAAATTTTGTTTTATTTTAATTTTTACTGATTTGCTTTTTTTTTTGTTTTGTTCTGTTTTTGAGACAGGGTCTCACTGTATAATTCAGACTGTGTAATTCACTACGTAGCCCAGGCTGGTCTTGAACTCTCAGCGATCTGTCTGCCTCAGCCTCCCCAGTACCAGGATTACAGGCCTGCCCCACCACACCCAGTGTTTTTGTTGTTTTGTTTTATTTTTTGAGATAGTCTCACTATGTAGCCCAGGCTGTCCTGGAACTCATGATGATCCTTCTGCTTCAGCCTCCTGAGAGCTAGGATTTCAGGAGGGTGCACCATGCCTGGCTCCTTTTCTAAAATTTGGAGAAGGAGCCTCTGACAGCATCCTAAATTACCCAGACTGAGCTCAAACTTGGAATCCTGCTGCCTCACTCTACCAAGCAGCTGGGGTTACAGATTTGTGCCCCCAAGCTTGATGAGGTTTTAAACTTCTAAATTTCTTCAATTAGTAAAAATGGTGCACATTTCTGGTGTATAATGTGGTGTCTTAGAACACGTACAGGTGTAGAAGAGC